CCTTCGTCCCCTGCCGGGGTGCTGGGGAAAGACCAGGACTCTGTGAGACCATCCTGGGAGAGCTTTGCCCACCCAGCTCAGGGTTGATGGTGCCTCTTTCCCCCTGGCAGGGAGATGCGCCGTGCCTCAAACCCCTTGTATTACCGGATTGCCCTCTCCCTGCTGGGGCTGCTCATCAGGGAGAAGCCCTGCTGGGAGCTACCTGCCATGGCATTCCTTGTGGAGGTGAGCCTGATGGCGAGCGCCGCCTTGCTGACCTGCCTCCACCTCTCTGCCCTCTCGCAGTCACAGCTGCCCGGGACGGTGCCGCGCCCTGTGCTGCTGCCTGGGCCCAGCCCGGTGCGGGTCTGAGCTCCTGCCGGCCGGGCACCTTGTCACTGCTCCGTGCTTTTCAGGTCCTGGACTGCCCGGACATGACTGAATGGAGTGACAGCTTCCTGGAGATCCTTTCCAGGCGCCTGTGGAGCGAGTGCACAGAGACGCGTCGCCTGGTGCTGAGAGGCCTCGTGGTGCTGAGTAAAGATCCTGTGATGGTGAGGAGGGGGCAACTGGTTGAAGCTGTGCTGGCAGCCTGGGGCCGGGGAGCGCAATCGCTTGGGCTTGGCTGGGCCAAGGGGAGGTTTAGCTTGGGGAGTAGAGAAAGGTTCTCCACTCAGAGGGTGCTCCGACACTGCAACAGGCCCCACTGGGAAGAGGTCACAGCCCCAAGGCTGCCAGAGCTCAAGGACAACACTCTCAGGGACACGATGGGATTGGTGGACATGGTCCTGTGCAGGGCCAGGAGTTGGACTTAATGATCCTTGGGGGTCACTTCCAACTCGGGATATTCTAGGATTCCATGATTCCTGGCTTCACAGCACAGCATTGTGTTCCACACAGGCTGATGGCATGCGGAGCCTGACACAAAGCCTCATGGACGTACTGTGGGATACAGATGGAGAGCTGGTCAGGATGGCCCTCTCTGTATTCATCAATCAAGTCCAGGACAGAGACATCCTAATCTCCACCCCCACTGCCCTGCAGCTGGCTGAGGTGCTCCAGCCACTCTTTGGCAATGTAAGGCTCTGTGCTCCCCCCCGCCAGGTGCTGGGTGCTACCAGGAAACTGTGGCCTGTGGACTTGCAGGCTTGTGCCCCGGTAGGCCTGGAGTTGAGGTCTTTTCCTCTTCCTTTCCATCAGGACAATATCCACGTGCAGCTGCTCTCCATTCAGCTCTTCCGAAAGGTGATGGAGTTGGGAGTGGATGAGGGAAAACAAGCCCTGAAGACACACGTGGTCTACAGCCTGCTCCCACTTTTTTTCCATTGGCATAATGAGAACCAGCATGTGGCAGAAGTGAGAACTTGTGGGGTCTGGTGTCCCAGCGGCAGGGGGCTGCTCTGCCTCGTGCCCTGGCACCTCAGAGGCTCCAGTCTCTCCTCCTGGCCTTGGTCCAGGGACACGGGTCCTGTGCCCTGGGCTGCGATGCCATGTCCTGCTCTCTGTTGCTCTGCAGGCCTCTCAGGAAGCGCTGCTTGGTGCAGCGTGGTTTCTGAAGAGGAGGGATCTTGTGAAGCTGCTGAAGACAGAGCAGTCTTGGAAGTTTGGCGAGTGCCTGGTAAGGACGACCCCGCAGCCCCAGGCCCCGATGCCCAGAGTGTGGGGCTGGCACTGTGCCCCTGCCCACTGCTGCAGCTGCCTGTGGGACAGCAGCCTGCGCCCCAGAGGCTGCCGTTTTGCCTGGGGCGTGTGGGTTCCTCTGCAGGCTCCTCTGCCCCCGAGCCAGGGGGCCATTGGAGTCCTGACCCAGCTGGGCTGTGGGTCAGGGTGGCCCCGCAGCTGCCGGGGAGCAGTCAGCCCTCTGCTCCCTCCAAAACTGGCCCCAGTAGCTGTTGCCCGGGCCTCAGGGTTGTGTGGGCAGGGGAGGCCAGTGCTGGGCGCAGGCAGCGGCCGGTCAAGGGGCAGAGCCCCAGCCAACCCTTCCCTCCGTGCCCTGTCGCTCTCTCCAGCTGGAAAAGGACAAGAAAAGAGTGGCCAAGTACCTGTGCCAGGCCGTGCCATACCTGGAGAGCCCACAGGAGCCCGTGCGAGAGGCGGCCCTCAGGTTCATTGGTGAGCCACAAGCTCTCGGTCCCTCCCCGCCCCACTGCAGCTCGGTCTCAGCCCCGGCTGCTGCAGCAGCAGCAGGATGCGGCCCAGGGATGTGCTGGGGAGCCCCGAGTGCCCTGGCGGCTGCTGCCGCCCTGTGCCAGCCCAGCCCTGGGGCGTCCCAAGGCGGGAAGGCCCCAGGCTCAGCCCTGCCAGGGCAGGAGGGCGTGTGGCCGGGCCGGCAGCGCCGCCGGGGGGGAGCTGTGCCGCTGGGGCCCTGACAGCATCTGTGTTCCCAGGGATCGCCGGGAGGTACCTGAAGGGACAGAAGGTAGAGCTGCAGATCGTCATTGATGGTGAGTCAGGGCAATGGGGCTGCTGAGTGGAGCACAGAGCCTGGGGCAGGGAGCTGCAATCCTTCCCTGGCTGTGGAGGGCTGTGCTCCCTGCAGAGATGAGCAATGGCATGGGCAGAGCAGAGAGAGATTTCAGGGGCACGGGGGGTCTTGGTGGCCAGCACCTCCTGGTTGATCCCGTTGGGCCCTCCTCCGTCCTGGCCATGGCAAGAGTTGGGTGGGATGGTCCTGGAAGGAGGGGTTTCTTGGCTTGCCAGAGATCTGGTCTCTGACCTTGGCTCCGTTCTTTTCTCTTCCAGTTATTGAAGGCATGACTCACGACAGCGCTGCTGTCCAAAGCCTGGCACTTCAAACCCAGAAAATCCTAAGAGCTGTCCAGAGACCTGAGTCTTCTCCAGGTTCCAGCAGTTTGAAGATCAGCTCCAGAATGTGTCGAATAGGGAGCCTCCTCTGTGGGGCAGCTGCCGAAAGTCAGTGGAGAACTGATCCTGGGAAACCTGTCTGATGGGACCATCTGAGCCTGCGGGAAAGACCCCTCTCAGCAACAAGTTTTTCTTCCCTAGCTTGAGAATATGAAATTCCTCTTAGCATACACAGAGGCTCAGGAATTTTTTTGGTGCCCGGTGTCTACAGGGCATCTGGGAAGAGGGGAAAAAGGACCCTTGTGCTCCACAACACCTGCCCAAATGTGCAGTGGGGAAGGGAAAGTGCCCAAGCCACAGACAACCCCAGCAGGCTACGCACAGGAGCAGCAGCACCCGCAAAATCTAGAATTTTGGAAGTCAGGCTGGCAGCTTCAGTGCAGGGTTGAAAAAAGCAAACAACAGCCCTTCTCCCTGGGAAAGAAAGGCTGCAACCTTAGGCTTCCTGGTTCAGTTGGTGGGCCAGCCTGGGCACTCCATGGGCAGCAAAAACTTTCTGGTGTGGCAACTTTGGTCTGGGAGGAATCTTCGTCCTTATGCAATATTGGGGGTCATAGCAGGAAACAGTCTGCTTATGGTAAAGGTGAGGGAAATGGCAATGACATTGCTGGGAGCAGAGACTGTGCTGTGCCCAGTCAGGGATCACTCAGGGCAGTGGTGCTGTAGCAGGTTTCCAAGTTTTCCTCCAGCAGCCCCATGATGAGGCTGTTCCCATCCCCAGTCATGGAGGAGGATATGAGAGAGAGGAAGAAAAGATTTTTTCTGAAGTGTGGGATCATGCCCCATTCCCATGAGGTGAAACTCCATTGATGAGGCCTGATTTTCAATTTTCTATTGAAATATTTATCTCTTCATGTCCCCTCTCCCCTGTTTGGACTCCTGTGAGTGAGAACATTTCTTTCTCTCTTTGGTGTTCACTGAATCCGTGCAGGCAGACCAGAGGGTGATCCATGGAGCTGTGGGTGCCTCTGGCTGTATCCCAGTGCCCAGCTGTGCTCTGTGCTTTGGGAAAGGGCAGAAATACCTCTGCTGGAGGGCAACGTCGCTCCTGCCTGCAGAGCCCTTCCTGCCTGCACAGGGACAATGCTGCCCAGCTGGGTTGCTTTCCTGCTGGGCAGGGAAAGGGACGGGTCAGAAGGAAGGGCATGGACAGAACAGACATGCTGAAGTGTCCTCAGCACAAAGCAAAGGTGGACTTCTGACTTGGTCATTTGATGTCCCCCCATGGAGGGACAACCAACCTCTTGCAGGTGGTTGCAGGGGGAGATGCCAGGGCTGGGAATGGGGGTTGCAGGGGCTGCTCTGTGAGAGTGGCCCTGGGGCACCTTCCCAGGCTGTCCATGGGACAAAGACACAGCCCCTGCTCTGCTGGTCCCTTAGGTCTGTGCCAGGAGCTCTGGCTGTGCAAGGACACTGCTGCGTGCCCCCGCCCTGCACACTCCCACTCCCAGCCGGGCACTGGCATTTGCTTTGCCAGGGCATTCCTGGAGCACATTGCTGACAGAGACTGTGGAGGAAGAACCTGAAGCCCTCCTGCCCTGCCCTCAGGAGATGCCCTTTGCTGATGGAGCTGCTGGTGTGGAGCCCAGCTCTGTGCCAGCAGTTCCCAGGGCCTGTCCCTGCCTGTGATCCCAGCATTGATGCACAGCAGGACTGTGCCCAAGGCGCCAGAGCACTCAGACCTTGCACCCAAAACAGGGCTGGGAAGGACAGTGTGGAGCTGGAAAGAGGGAATGTGGAAAGACCAAGTGCCCTTGTCCCTGGCTGGGCTGCTGGGCTGGGTGTCTCTTCTCTCCACGTCTACACACAGGCACTGCCCCTGAAGTCAGGGACCAGAAGAATCTTGGGCACACAGAAATCAGGGCAGGGTATTTACTTAATTTAAATGAACAGAGAACAAGCCTTTGGAAAGTCTTTGACTTACAAAAGAATGGTAGATACTGATGTAGCAATGCTATGATATTCATTTGTCAAATACATTATAACAGTAGAAAAGGAATAAGAAAATGAACCAATAAAAAACCAAATAAGACAAAAAAGTCTGAGATTGCAATGAATTAAATTCTGAATGCTCTGCAGAAGAAAACAGACACTTTATTGCTTTTGAAAAAAGCCAGTAATTAATTTTGCCATGGCATCTTTGAATTCCTTGTTCCTCAGATGAGGGAGTTCAGTGCTGGAGGCACCACCGAGTACAGAAATGACACCACCAGATCCAGGGATGGGGAGGAGATAGAGGGGGGCTTCAGGTGGGCAAATGTGCCAGTGCTGAGTAACAGGGAGACCATGGCCAGGTGAGGGAGGCACGTGGAAAAGGCTTTGTGCCGCCCCTGCTGAGAGGGGATCCTCAGCACAGCCCTGAAGATCTGCACATAGGAGAAAACAATGAAAATGAAACAACCAAACACCAAACAAGCAGTAACCTTAATAAGCCCAATTTCCCTGAGGTAGCCTGACTGTGAGCAGGAGAGCTTGAGGATGTGGGGGAGTTCACAGAAGAACTGGCCCAGGGCATTGCCCTGGCACAGGGGCAGGGAAAATGTATTGGCTGTGTGCAGCAGAGAATAGAGAAAGCCAGCGGCCCAGGCAGCTGCTGCCATGTGGGCACAAGCTCTGCTGCCCAGGAGGGTCCCGTAGTGCAGGGGTTTGCAGATGGCAACGTAGCGGTCGTAGCACATGATGGTGAGAAGGGAAAACTCTGTTCCAAGGAAGAACAGCAGAAAGGCCTGGGCAGCACATCCCTGGAACGAGATGTGCCTGGTGGCCCCAGAGGGAATTGTGCATGGTTTTGGGGACAGTGGTGCAGATGCAGCCCAGGTCTGTGAGGGAGAGGTTGAGCAGGAAGAAGCCCATGGGGGTGTGCAGGTGGTGGTCACAGGCTACGGCGCTGAGGATGAGGCCGTTGGCCAGGAGGGTAGCCAGGGAGATGGCCAGGAAGAGCCAGAAGTGCAGGAGCTGCAGCTCCCGCCTGTCTGCCAATGCCAGGAGGAGGAACTGGGGCATGGAGGTGCTGTTGCACATTTGCTGCTTCATGGCATAGGGTCCTGTTAAAAAAGGAATCTGAGAATCAGAAAAAGCAGAAAAGGAAGAATAGACTTTTCAGAGCAAATATTACAACCCGCCCCAGAAAGGGGGGATAACCCAGGTTCTCATTGATAAATCCCTTGGGGCAATTAGAGTGAAATGACACTAAATAATCAGTGTTTGAAAACATATATATGCAGGGTTTATTTTAGAAAAATTTTGTTTCAAAGGTAAACAATTATGTTGCCATTTTGGGTGTTATCATCTGTACTTCTCATCTATAGCAATATGGCATAAAGATAACCTTTAGGGAAAATGTGTAAGGGAGAGAAAGGAAAGACAGGAAAATAATAAGGGAGAGTAAGGGAAAGAAAAGATGAGAGCAGAAAAATGTGTCAGGAGTGTTCTTTGTAGGGGCAGAAATCCTCAATTTTATGAGTGAAAACATGAGTTGATACAGAGAAGACAGTTCATCTCTGTGTGGCTTACTGCAAACCCAGGAGAGCTGAAGGATCCAAGAGTCTGCTTTCCATCTGCCCTTGGATTTCCCTTGTGTTGCCTTGACGAGGACCTCATACAGAAAGTAGTCTTAAAAAAACCCACAACCAAGGGTTGTTTCTCAGAGCAGGGCAGCACTGTTCAAGTCCCTGCCAGCAGCTGCTTCCTTGTGCCCAGGGCTGAGCCCTGGCAGTGCTGCCGGAGCCCATCCCAGCCCTGGGGGCTCAGCTCTGCCTTGAAGAGCCCTCCCAGCACAGGGCATTGCCCAGGGGCAGTTCTGGCTGGGCAGGCTCTGATGGCAATGGCAGGGCAACCCTGAGGAGACAGAAGTGGACAGTGATGCTGCTTGTGAGCCACGGGGTGTTGAGTTCTGACACTGCCTGGGTTATTCAGCTCTGAGAGAAGCTGATTCAGAGTTTAATTTCCTCCTCCTGAACTGAGATACACATTTTGATGTCCCATTTCCCACCCAGAAAACACAGACTGGGAGACTGAAAGAACAGGACCCTTCTCTTTTAGTAGCTCCTCAACTCCTGTGCTTCTGGAAAGCTCCCCTGGGAAATGTTGTGTGATGACCTGGAGCTCTGAGCAGCCCTCACAACCTGCAACATCATGTCAACAGGTCAAGGACCCTGCCCTCTCCTGTCAGAGGCTGCTCCTTGCCCACACCCTTTCTCCCCCAGCCCTGGGAGCAGCTCCCCGGGACGGCTGAGAGCTGCCCCTGGCAGGCAGCAGAGTCCCTGCCCAGCACAGCACCCTGGGCTGCAGGATCCTGCTCTGCCCCACAGCCCTGGGCACCCCTGGCTGCACCCCCAGCTTCACAGCTCTTCCAAACTGCCCCAAAACAGCCCCCTGCTCACCCATCCCATCAGCTGGGGCTGAGCCAGCTTTAGGAGATGCCTCCAGGAGCTGCCCCTGCACTGCCCTGCAGCCACAGACTCACTGTGTGCAGCCCTGCCAAGATTCCTCCTGCAGGGAGCTCCCAGCCCTCCTGCCAGTGCTGAGCCCCTTGAAGCTCTGTGTGTGCCTTGCTGGTGTCCCTGAGCTGCCCTGGCAGTGCCCTCAGCCCTGCTGGGTTGTGCAGAGGAGCTGCTCCTGGGCAGAGCTCTCTCTCTGCAGCTCTGCCTGCTTGCCAGGAGCTCCTGGTGTGCCAGGAGCCTGGCCCAGCTCAGCAGCACAGCAACTGCCCCAGGCAGTTCATGACCCTCGGGGGCTTTGGGGATGAGTCCCTGAACATCAGACCCTGAGCAAAGTTTCAGGAACCTCTTGAGAAACCAAAGTTAGATTCAAACTGTAAAGTTTCTTGTAGTGCCAATGGGTCCCACTGAGGGACCCAACTGAGAAAACATCCCCAGGGTCTTGTTAGAGCACAAACCTGCAAACAGGGATGACAGGTCACAGAATCACAGTATCATCAAGGTTGGAAGAGACCTTCAAGATCTTCTAGTCCAACTGTCAACCCAGCACCACCAGAATCACCCCTAAACCCCACCCCAAAATGACATATCCAGGTGCCACCTGAACACTTCCAGAGACTCCACCACCTCCCTGGGCTACCTGTTCCAATGGATGAACACTCTCTCAGTGGAAAAAGGTTTTTTTAATGTGTAATTGGAGCCTCACCTGATGCAACTTAAGGCTGTTTCCTCTCTTCCTGTCACTAAAGGCTTTGCAGAAGAGACCAACCCTCACCCCACTAAAACCTCCTTTCAGGTCATTGCAGAGAGCAATGAGGTCCCCCCTGAGCCTCCCCTTCTCCAGACTCAACCAGCCCAGTTCCCTCAGCTGTCCCTCAGCAGACATGTTTTCCAGAGCCTTCCCCAGCTCTGTTCCCTTCTCTGGACACACTCCAGCCCCTCAAGGGTCTTTTTGCACTGAGGGGCCAGAACTGGACACAGCACTCCAGGTGGGGCCTCCCCAGTGCCCAGCACAGAGGGGCAATCAGTTCTCTGCTCCTGCTGGCCACACTCTTCTCCACAAAGGCCACGATGCCCTTGGCCTTCTTGCCCCCCTGGGCACACTCTGCCTCATATCCAGTTGCTGTCAAGCAGCACCCCCAAGTCCCTTCCTGCTGAGCAGCTCTCCAGCCCCTCTGCCCCCAGCCTGGAGCGTTCCAGGGGGTTGCTGGGACCCAAGTGCAAGACCTGACACTTGGCCTTATTGATCCAGCCTGTCCAGATCCCTCTGCAGAGCCTTCCTGCCCTCCAGCACATCCACACTCACAGTCAACGTGGTGTTGTCCACGACTTTACTGAGGGGGCACTCGATCCCCTGGCCCAGATCATCAGTAACGATGTTAAACAGGAGCAGCCCCAACCCTGAGCCCTTGGGAACCCCACTAGTGATCGGCCCCACCTGGATTTCCTTCCATTCCCCACCACTCCCTGGGCCATCAGCCACTTTGTCACCCAGCAAACAGTTCCCCTGTGCAAGCCATGAGCAGCCAGTTTGTGCAGGAGATGCTGGGGGAGATGGTGCCAAAGGCTTTCCTGAATCTAGAGAGACACATCCCCAGCCTTTCTCTCAGCTGCTGAGCAGGTCCTTTGTCAGAGAAGATGAGGTTGGTCAGGCAGGACCTGCCTTTCTCAACCCCACTCTGGCTGGGCCTGATCCCCTGATTGTCCTGCCCGTGCCATGGGATGGCACTGAGGAGGATCTGTTGCATGGACTTCCCCGGTCTTGAGGTCAGTGGGACAGGCCAGGAGTTCCCCAGATCCTCCTTTTGGCCCTTCCTGGGGATGGGCATCCAATTTGCTTGTTGCCAGTCAGCTGGGACTTGTGCAGTTGTGCAGCACTGCTGGGGAATGAGTGAAAGTGGCTTGGCCAGCTCTTTCTCCAGCTCCCTCAGGACTCTTGGGTGCATCCCATGTGGGCCCAGGCACTTGTGGGGGTCTCATTGGCAGAGCAGGTCACTGACCATTTCCTCCTGGATTGTGGGGGCTTCACTCAGCTCCCCATCAGCAGCTTCCAGCCAAAGCCCGCCTGCCAGGTGTCCAAGGGGTCAGTTCTGCTGCCCCCTCCTTCCTTCCCTCACAATGGAAAACTCCCTCATTTTCTGTTCCTGTGCCCCAGACGGCTCCAACCACCACCTCACCCACCAGTCCCAGAATCATGGAATGCTTTGGCTTGGGAGGGGCCTTAAAGAGCATCTCAGCACCTTCAGAGTCCAGAATTCCTTCTTACTATCTCCTCCAACCCTTCCCTCTATCTGTGTGAAGCCACTGCCCCTTGTCCTGTCACTCCAGGCCCTTGTCCAAAGTCTCTCTCCATCTTTCCTGTTGGCTCCCTTCAGACACTGCAAGGCCACAATTGGGTCACCCCAAAGCCTTCTCTTCTCCAGCCTCAATAATGCCAATTCTCTCAGCCTTTCCTCACAGCAGAGCTGCTCCAGCCCTCTGATCCTCTTGCTGGTCCCCTCTGGACTCACTCCAACAGGTCCATGTCCTTCCTGTGCTGGAGGCCAGAGCTGGAGGCAGCTCTGCAGGTGGGGCAGCATTACAGCCACGCATGTTCCAGCAAGGACATGGTGGAACCTCATGGAACCAAGAACCCCTGGGACACTGCAAGGCCTTCTGGAGCCAAAGGAGCCCTGGGACACTGTGCAATCTCATGGAATCAAGGCAGCACTGTCACCCTGGGAAAACTGGAATTCAGGGCCCATTGTGACACTGCAGGTCCCCATGGAACAAAAGGAACCCTGGGACACTGCAGAAACTCATGGAACCAAGGGACCATTGTGACATTGAGGGGGCTGATGGAATCAGGAGTCCACTGGGACAATCCAGGGCCTCATGAAATCAAAGGAATTCTGGGACACTGTTGAACCTCCTGGAACCAAGGGTTCCTGCTGACATGCGTGTCCTCCTGGAACCAAGGGAGCACCGAGACATTTCTGAACCTCACAGAATCCAGGGGCCATTGTGACCCTGAAGAACCTCCTGCATTCAAGTGGTCCTTGTGAAACTGCAGGATCTCCTGGAACCCAAGGATTCCTGGAACACTGCAGAGCTCACAGAACCAAGGGGTCACTGTTGCACTGCAGATGCTTCTGAAGCACAAGGGACCCTGGGACAATGGGAAATCTCCAAGAATCCAAAGGGTATTTTGGGACTGCAGGGCCTCATGGAACTAAAGGAACCTTTGGAGACTGTGGAAGCTCATGGAATCAAGGGGCCATTGTGACATGTGGGGCCTCCTGGAAGCAAAGGAACCCTGAGAATTTTTGTGGGAACAAGTTAAGGCAGCAGCAGCTGCACTCAGTTAATCAGGATCAACAAGGAGTGTTTTG